CAGACAGACAGATAGACAGACAGATAGACAGACAGACAGATAAACAGACAGACAGATAAACAGACAGACAGATAAACAGACAGACAGATAGACAGACAGATAGACAGACAGACAGATAAACAGACAGACAGATAGACAGACAGATAGACAGACAGACAGATAAACAGACAGACAGATAGACAGACAGATAGACAGACAGACAGATAAACAGACAGACAGATAGACAGACAGATAGACAGACAGACAGATAAACAGACAGACAGGTAGACAGACAGATAGACAGACAGACAAACAGACAGACAAACAGACAGATAGATAGAGAAATAAGAGTCACTATTGGTTCACTCTCTCATACAATTAATTACAAATGAAAAAGCAAACAGGAGCTAAATAAGAAATAATAATAAAACCAATTCACTCAGACGTTAATGCTCGCTCGCTCTCTCTATTCAATATTTCTGTTCATGTATTTATAATGATTACAATATTTAATGTCAACTGAATCTGTTTATCTGGCAAATATCCTCTGTATAATCACAGATATATAAATGTGCCTTTATAAGTCATGAATGATTCATTCCACACATGAACACACATTCATGCATCAGCTCATAACTAATAGATGATAAAACAGTTCAGTGCACACCTTTGAATGTAAAATCATCTGGGAAGTCATCTTCCTCCTCTTCCTCGCTGGAGTCGGTGGGTGCGGAGTCCTGGTCGAAGGCCACGCCGCGGGTCACCGGTGAGCGGCTGCTGCTGGCGCGGCTGGAGCTGCGCTGCTCCCTCAGACAGGTGAAGTACTGCACGGAGAACTCCAGCAGGTCCACGGGCCTCCGCTTCAGCACCTCCAGCGTGTAGCTCTTCAGCAGCTCGGTCAGACCCGCAGGAACCTCCACGCTCATCCTGACCGACAGACGATGCACATCCACACCCACCAAAACACCACAGTACCAGAGCGCACCATACGGCTCCAAAACCGCTTTCCACCGGTGGCCAGAACCATTGACCCGTGACGGATCGACAGCGGAAAATATCGACTGTCCTCAAAAATATCACGACCGCAGGACGCCGAAGTACAGCTTTTATCTTTCTTTTATTATGTAGATTGAATCAGCATATTCTTCTCAAAAGATCAAATTAAATCTGTACACAAATCCGTCACTGAGAAGCGACTCGAGCTTTAATTAAACTGAGGTAAGCTGAGGACACTGAAGGGAAAAACTCATCGACTGATGATGACAGAAACACAAATCAATACTCACAGACCATATGAAAATGATCAATACACATTTATTTATGTACATGTTGTGGGTGATAGTAACTGTGAATTAAACCTAATGAACAAAACAATTAAAAGAGAACAGGCCTTGACTGTACTGAACTCCTGTCGTGAGGGCTGGAGGCAGTAAACGGATGAATGCTAACATACAGACGGAGGTTTGCTAGCTGTTAAAGGATCTGATTCTACATTATAAACATTCAGTTTCCCTGAAGGCAGAAATCGGTTCACAGTCTGTTATAAGGCACTGACTAAAATCCTCTCGAATAAATCATAAAGCAGCGAGACGCTCATTAACATGTGCTACAGTCTGCCGCGCCGCTCACATCTGGTGTGGTTCCTCCGGATCACAGATTTGGAGCAATCCAGTTCAGAAACTTCATGGCCACTTCAAACCCCAGAAAGCAGGCCTGAAGAGAGAGAAAGCGTGTCAGTGTTATTGAGCTGCTGATGCGCCTCGGGCCTCTGACTTTATTGAGTTTTTATCTCAGGAAAGCACATCCAGCTCATATTTCCATTTCTGCCACACGAGGGGAAAAATCATGCTTTGTCTAATTATAACACAAAAAATAGGACATACTCATAATTATGAGATAAAAGGTCAAAATCATGAGATTTAAAAAGTCCTAATTATGACATAGCCAATTATGAGATAAAATGTAAAAATGATAACAGTCCTAATTATGAGATAAAAGGTCAAATAATGTGATTCAAGTTACAATTATGACAGTCAATTATGAGATAAAGTGTAAAAATTGTAACAGTAAGTCATAATTATCAGATATGAGATAAGTCAAAATCATGAGATTAATATGGCATAACTGTGACATAAATATAAATTATGAGAAAAAAGTTAAAAGTGTGACATACTAAGTAATAATTATGAGATAAAAAGTTGAAATCACAATTGATTTTTTAATGTAATAATTTCAACTTTTATCCCATAATTATGACTTAGTATGTCACAATTTGGACTTTTATCTCATAATTATGATTTACTAAAGCATGACTTTAGTTTCTTATGTGTGGAAATGGGCTTCCGTATATTTCACCCTAAAAACCTAGAGAAAAAATTTATTTAATTAAAAGAAAAAAACAAAGCTTATTTTCTGTATTTTGACATTCATGACGATTCACCATGATATTTAAAGTGTTAAATTGTATTTATATGTTATGCTGTAGTATTTTAAGCTCATTCATGGTGATTCAAATAAAAGTATTAAAGTATCACCAAAATCAATGAGAGAAATAAAAACCCTGAAAGCATAGCTAGTTTAAAAAGAATAATAATAATAAATATAATAAAATAAAACAAATTAATAGAATGGTGAAGATGCAATTCAGTCACTGGAATTGGGCACTAAATGGCCTAAAGTTCTTTTGATTTCGGAGTGAACTGTGACCCGGTCTGACCCTCGTATGACCCTGTGTGTGCGTCACAGCGCCAGTCGTACCGCGTTAGCTGGAAACGCTCGCAGCATCACAGCATTAAAGCCTTTATAGAGCGAGCCGATGCCCTCCTCCCGGATCAGCTCTCGCAGGACGTCCCGGAAGCCGTTGGGATATTTGCCCTCTGGAGCTGCGGATGGAACACACACACACACACACCCGTCAGACTCACTGCAGACGCACGGATCTGCAGAACAACACTGCGTCTCACACACCTGTCTGGAAACGAGACTTCAGCACGTCAGGAGGAATCGCCACGGCCCAGTTAAAGATCCCCGCCATCCCACCAGCGAACAGCACACTGGGAACGCTGAGCTCCGTCGGGCTGAACACACACACACACACACATACACACATACATACATACACACACACACACAGAGAGACACACACACACACACACACACACACACACACACACACACACACACACAAACACA